AGATTTGGTCCATGAGTTTCTTTTATTCTTGGAATAAAAGACACAAATTATAGGCTTATTTATTGTTAAAGTTGGAGCATTTTTCTTGAAGACTTTTCCTAGCAACTTTTGTCATCCAAAATGTATGAACTTCTCTTGTTCATAAACAAATTGTTGTTGTAGATATTTATGAAGAATGTATGTACATGATTATTTGGTTTGCATAAAGCCACATGTCCTTGTTACTCTTTTGGTAAAGAGTATTCAACTTTTATTTACCTTCTCAAGATAAAACCATGTGACTTTGATCCATCACATCCACTTTTGTCACCTTAAAACCCCTTGTACACTTCTTGTTTTTGCCTTCCTAAGACCCCTTTTTGACCCAAAATGCTTAAAAAGTATCCCCCTCATTAAAATATGAATAAATGTCCTTTCTGGTACCATTTTTAATGAAAAAATAGCATTTTTCGTCATCTGTTCAGCGCTTCTCGGACCCCCGAACCGCAGCCAAAAACTGCCTACGGAGCCTCCTAAGAAGCCTCCTCGTAACCCCTCTCAGCCCTAGTCCGTAGGCACTCACACACTTCACTTCGGACCGCAACTCTTTTCTTCTCGGTTCGCAACTCCTTTGCTTCTAGTATTCACTGACCGCATGCTACTCGTATCAAAGTCAGCTACCGCAATTCACCTACCGTGGTCTCACACCTCATCCACTACTTTCCCCTCTCATCCGAACCTACACTCCCCTCTAGGGATGAGCATATGGACTTGGGAACCGGCCGAAACCAGTCCTGAAACTGGAACCGAAACCCGATGGAACAGGTCGGGTCGGGACCGATACTATAATTTTGTCAATTTTTGGAACCGGGACTCGGTAAGAACCGGTCGTTGGAACTGGCAAAAAATCGGGAACCGGACAGGATAACTTACTCAAAATTTTAAAGTTGCATAACTCACTCAATTTAACTTTTTTTTGACTTGAATCTTTTTTCTACATATAAAGTATGATTTGTAGTTAAGTTTAGACTATAAAAACGCTTGATTTGCTTAAAAATTAAATGAGTTACAAGCCCTGTAAGGAAGGGTGTCAAATCAGAATTTTTTTAATTTTATGTTTCAACAATTAAATGTAATCTGACTTTGTTATTCAAATGTGCATAAATCACTCAATTTAACTTGTTTTGACCTGAATCTTTTTCCTACATGTAGATTAGAATTTGTAGTGAAGTTTAGACTATTAAAACGCTTGATTTGATTAAAAAGTGAATGAGTTAAAAGTCCCACAAGAAAAGGTGTCAAATCAGATTTTTTTTTTTTTTTTATGTTTCAACAATTAAATATAATCTGATTTTGTTGTTCAAATGTGCATAACTCACTCAATTTAACTTGTTTTGACCTGAATCTTTTTCCTACATATAGATTAGAATTTTTAGTTAAGTTTAGACTATTAAAGTGCTTGATTTGATTAAAATCTGAATGAGTTACACGCCCCGCAAGGAAAGGTGTCAAATCAGAATTTTTATTTTTTATTTTTTATGTTTCAACAATTAAATATAATATGACTTTGTTGTTCAAATGTGCATAACTCACTCAATTTAATTTTTTTTGACATGAATCTTTTTCATGCATGTAGATTTGGAGTTGTAGTTAAGTTTAGAGTATAAAAACGATTGATTTGGTTAAAAATTGAAAGAGTTACAAGGCCCACAAGGAGGGGTGTCAAATCAGAATTTTTTTATGTTTCAGTAATTAAATGTAATCTGACTTTGTTGTTCAAATGTGCATAACTCACTTAATTTAAGTTTTTTTTACCTGAATATTTTTCCTACATGTAGTTTAGGTTTTGTAGTTAAGTTTAGACTATAAAAACGTTTGATTTGGTTAAAAAATTAATAAGTTACAAACCCCGCAAAGAAGCTTGTCAAATCAGACAAGTTCCAAAATCGAAAACCCGGCAAAAACCAGACCCGGAACCGAAACCGATAGAACCGTCGGGCCGGTTCGGTTCTTAATTTTGGCCGAAGCCGGTCCCGGCCGGTTCGGTCTGTTTACTCATGCCTACTCTCCTCATCCACACCTGCCTCCTCCCACCACAACCTCCTCTGACTTTCAATTCCCTCCTCCTCCCTCCGGCCCTTTTTTAAAACCCCTTATTTTTTTTAAAACCCGCTTATTTTTTTTTTAACTTTTTTCTGTTCAGCAATTTTTTTATTATTATTAGTATTATTTTTTAACAACAATTATTTTTATTTAGCCAATTATTTTTTTTAACACCATTTTTTTTATTTAATCATTTTTTTTACATCAGTTATTTTTTTTAGGGAATTTTTTTTAACGGCAAACCGCACCGCATAGTGCGGTTTAACAATCTTACAGACCTCAAACCGCACCACAGACTTCCTTAACCGCATTATGAAGTGCGGTGTGGTGCAGTGTTGGTGGTTTATGGAGTTTGTGGTTTGGTAAACACCCCTAGTTATTATGAATATTAGATGATTTTCATGAATCCCATTTATTTAAGAATGTTTTATTTTTAATTAGATTATTTGAATATTACTAGAATTGTAAGAATATTATCCTAAGACATGTAGATATAGATTTTTATTCATATCATCATCTTTCTTTTACTTCTATCCTTGGTCGATTTTCACAACCAAGTAACCTCCCTCCATTGTCGATTTTATCAAGTGAATAAGAGTGTCTTGTGGTTTTTCCCGCAAGGGTTTTCCATCCAAGATTCGTGTGTTTGTATGTGATTTTATAGGTTCAAGCATCTTATAGCTCTTCCAATTAAAGAAAGAAGGGAAGTCAAATGTTATGAATAGTGATTGGGTTCTTGCTTATCAAATCGTAAGTCGACAAACAAATGTTATCGAATCAACTAAAGCTTTGACATGTCAGTAAGATTGGTGCCCAGTGCATCAAGTATAGTGTTATCCATCACTAATGTCCACCTGTCACGGAAGAATATTCTTCTTTGAGGAGTTCGAGATATCGAAACCATGTTTATCTCTCGTTATCCACTCGTGTCCACGTGGGAGGTATGGTTGCAATTGGTAAAGAATACCCTTTTGCTCTTCAACTGAACATCCAACTTGCTATGGGATTTCAACTCCCAAATCTCTTGCTTTTGCGATGAAATATGTGTTGCCCTGTGGTGTCACTACTCATCTTATATGTAATTTAAAAAAGAAAGTTTTCAGAAACATGCTGTATTTGAAATTTGTTACGAAATGATTACAACATTAAGTATGGATGAGAGATTTAGAAAGTACACATGATTTTGCCAAATAAAATATACGATTATAGTTAATTTTCAAAATTTAGCTCAAATGTACATATTGATGATTACGTTATATATACACATGCATAAAGTGATGAAGAAAGCAATGTGTATGGCACAAGTGATCGGATATATGAATCTTCAAGTGGGATTTTGAATTATTGCCAACAAAAGCACATGAAATGAATCTTCAAGTGGGATTTTGAATTATTGCAAAAAAGAATCGAAGACATGGCATGGAAACAAAGGTAGAATATAATTCTCTAATGGTGCATTGCTACGTTATAAGGAATTTATTCGTGTATATGGAATAGAAAACGAAACTTTTGGTCTCAAATCCAACCCAAACTAAATAAACCTACACAAAGCCACTACTAGAAAAGGCATCACTTGCAATATATAGAAATAAATAGCAAGGTGTTAATCTGTCACAAATGTAGACAAATTAGTGACACTTTTGGGCATTGCCAAGTGTTTTAATTAGTTAAAGTCCATGCGTTTTTTTTTGCTTTTCTTGGAACGGAAATGTCATGTGTTAATACAATGTATATGTATAAAGAGACACATGAAGGTCATGGAGTAGATACACTTTATGCTCATATGGCTTCCATGTCATCTGTTGAGTGGGTCCATCCATGTCAACAATCACTGAAGTGAAAGTAAAATGGATATATCATATTTTTTCAACTTTTCTAATAAACATATTGTATAGCCCTCAAACAGCTTACTATGTACGTATTGGTTAAAATGAATATGATGGCTTCAGGCCCGTCCCAGAGGGTGGGTGATAGGGGCGACCGTCTAGGACTCATCGTTTAAAGGCGTCTAAAATTTTTACAGACTTTATTAAAATGTTAGACATGATCAAATTTGAAGATATTATTAGTGATTTTGCTTCTCAAAAAGCTAAAAGAAATATTTTTCTTTAGATATATAGGTTTTTATAAGCGAAAATGTTATATTTAGAAGCTAGTATAAGTATTTTTTCTCAATTATTAAGTTAATACAAAAACAATTAATGGAATTTGTGTATTTTAAGAGTCTTTTTTTTCGTCCTGGGGCTAAAATATGTTTGGAACGGCTGGATAGCTTTTTATCCAAATAACTGAGCAGGGAATCATATAAAGAGGTATACTCTTGGTCTTTTGGAAATTAACATGGGACTAGTTTTGCTTCAAAATCCAGTGTCACTAGCTTAATTATGTTTCATCTCAAATGTTGTTTCCCAAACTATCATAAAGAGTTAGGAAGATCATAAAGAGTTAGGAAGGTATACGTATACACACATTTTTACTTCTAATTTTGGAATCTCATGACGAGCTATTAAGATCATGCATAAATACAAATTATATGATTTTGGTTCACATTATTATATCTATGTGTTTTATTCTTGAAGGATGCTTAATATGTTTGATTGTTTGTTGAATTGGGATATTTACGCGACGGACCGGGTTTTTCTTGATTTATTATGAGGGTCCCACTTTTGGAATCCTTTGGCAAGTATATAAACCATTCAAGTTCATTCTGAAAACCACAAACAAACATAAACCATCTTTCTCAAGGTTAGTAAACAAATGTTATAATCTAAATTCTAAACAACCAAAACTGATCATCTAAATTAAATGTCCAACAAAAAAACTTGTTTTAATTCTTTTACTTGTGATCACCTTATTTGAGTTAAAATGTGACACTTTTGTATCGATTATTTCAGGCTTTGAACCTACAACAAAAGAAAATGAGCAATGGAGACTGGATGTGTGGTTCATGCCAACATATAAATTTCAAGAAACGTGATGCATGTCAAAGATGCCAGTGTCCCAAATTTGCTACACCTGCAGAAATGACGAATTATGGCATTGATAGAACAGAAGTTTTAGCAGGCGATTGGTATTGTTCAACGTTTAATTGTGGTTCACACAATTATGCTAGTAGAACTGTGTGTTATAGATGTGGTGTACCTAAAGATTACACAACAGCTGCCATGATAGCAGCATCAACTGCAGGCTATTACACTCACGATTCTAGTGCCCTTCCAGGTTGGAAAAGTGGCGATTGGGTTTGCAATAGGTAACATACATTATATATCTAGTAGAATTTTGAATTAAAAGCTTCAAAACCTTCATGAAGTACTATTAAATTAAAGGAAAGGAAGAATATCGTTTTCCCACTTGCATAAAGTATTTGAACGTGAAATATTGGTAAAATTTGATTTTGATTGAGTTTTGAACTCCGAACAGGGTAGGTTGTGGAGTTCACAATTATGCAAGTAGAATGGAATGCTACAAATGTAAAACACCAAGGGAATAAGGTTGTCCACCAATCTCTCATTTATCTTATTTAAATGATTAAGTTTTGTGCAAAATATTCTTTCGCCATGTCTCGATCAATGACTAGAACTTTTTGAACGATGTGTTCAATTGTATTTAAAAGAGATCCCACGTACCTAGCTTTGCGACATTATATGGCTTCACAATGTTTTAGTGTCATTTCTTCTGATAAATACAAAGTTCAATACGAAACCCTTTTTCCTATGCCAAACTATCTACATTTCTACACCTAGATTTGATGTCATTTTTAAACCGTTTGCACCCAAGTGTGTCAATATATAATGCATTTCTAGTTAAAAGGATGTACATACAAAGGCATTTGTAAATCCCACTTGAACTTTGTTGAAGTCATATTCATTATATTCTTGTTTAGCCAAAAAAAAGGGTCGATGGACACTTGCTTAAAATCCCTGAATTGTCAACCACCTTTACATTGTTTAGTTCATTAAAGTAGTAAAAAATTCTCTTGATTTTCAGGATGCAAGTGAGTTCATCCAAGAGAGGTTTATGAAGTTGTAACAACAGTTAACTATATGTACTCCATTGACTCTTATTCTTTAATTGTATCTACGGGAGTTAATTGGTTCAACGATTTGCTTATTATATATTTTCACATTTTGGAATCATTGATTTCAAACTTCATGTATAGAGAAAAACTCAATTTTGTAAGTATACTTATTCCTCAAAAACACTTGAATTCCGTCACGAAGAGTTATTTGCAAGAGACCCGTCGCCAAAGTGCCATCACAAAGCATAAATATCAGATAGAACTTAATTTTTAGGGGACCAAGAATAAATATAGGACCAAATACCATTTGAGAAAAAATGCTCCAAAAGCTAGCCGTTGAAAACAAAAGCACATTATAAAAATAATATATTTAAGGAATATGTGTGAAATCATCAGGTATATAATATGTAGTAAACATCGTTTCACTAGAATCTAAATAATTATAATTATATGCTAATAATTTGGAGATAAGAACCGGGTTCTCTTTGTTTTTGTAAGAACGACATTGGTCTTAGTCATTTTACTTATCCAATATGAATTATTTAAAACAAATAGACATCAATACAAATGATATTAAGGATAACAAATATCGGTACGACATTACACACAACATGAAGTCACGAACCCAATGCAAAAATAAACGGGTTTTGTTGGGGACTTCAACCCATTTAATTAACAGGTTAACATGACTCAAACATTGTTTTGTGATAATGGTTATGACAAATTCAGATGGATAGGAACGCATACACCCTAAAATCTAAGTGGTAAGGTTTCTCTCCATTTCATGAAAATGATTGTGAGGAAACGCTTTCACTAGGAAGATTTTAAGAAGATAGAAATTGTGTAAGTTGTATTCTCAAATTCGATTATGACTACGACATCCCTCTTCATAGTTCGAATTGTGAGATTTGACAATTAGTTTAATATTTAAGACTTATTGTTGTAAGTTCTGAAATGTTAGACACACATATGAGATTTCTAATAAAAGGTGTATGACCTTAGATGAAGTCTTATCGAAGCATTACGTATCAGAAATATGAACTTTGGTAAGAAAGTCAATAAGTATTGATTTCTAGAAGTCCAGCTGTTTTCTGAGTACATGTCAAAGCTAGTGGGAGCATAAGTGTTATACTGGTAAGGATATAATTATCATATTAGTGGGAGCATGATTATTATGTTAACTGTTGCAAGCTAGCAATATTAATTATAGAAAACAAAAAGTTTCAATTCGCAAAGTTGTAGAGGTTGAAAAGTTGTTTTGTTATAATTAATGGAGAGAAATTTATCCTTCATTTCAAATTTAAAAGCTTAGATCGAGAAATTTTAATCAAATTTAGTTAAAGGATATATATGAATGTTATGTTGAAAAGGTTCAACATAAGGAAATTCCATATATGGCAATAGTATTGCAAGAGACTGGTAAAGTATCATGTTTTTATGTAAGACATTATGTAACGTATCTCATACGCTTCGGGCATAGGATCGATTACATATGCTGTAATATTCGACCGTTCTGTCTTTTCCAAATGCCTAGGGCATTAAAAGGGAAAAGGTCCAGAACTTGATATGACTAAAGTAGTTAAACAACTGTCAATGACAATCTAAGGTTCACCAACGATTCATTACTTGCGGGCAGTTGGAAGTATAGTAATGAATGGACCATATTGACATTATTATAAATATATATGATTCTATTTAAAATGTGTTGTCATATGGCAAATATGGAAATGTTTCCATAATGGGAGTTGGATATTAAGAATCTATGTAGATTAGAAACTTTTACGCAAGAAGGATGTTCAAAGGAATGTACTTTAAATTTGAGACTTCATATCTATGGAGTTGTCTTGTAACAATCTCCAATAGAGCACTTTGTAATATCGTTGGCAAAGTCTTTGTGACTTTGGTGCTATTCCATTACAAAAGGATCATTGCATAAAATGTTAGAATCTAACACATAGCAAGAATTTGGTATTCTTACACTTGTTATAAGGATTAGGAATTGTGAAATGAGCATCATTGGAAATGTGTTCAAATTGATCTATTTCACAAAGTAAGGACTACAGGTAAACATAGTGTGCATGTTTGGATCATGGGATGACTATTGTTTCAATTCAAGTATTAAGTTGATTATCCGAAACATTATATAATGATTAATGTGTAATCGATATGGTGATTAAATAAAAAGTATTTTATTTATACTCAAAGTGTTGAGGCCATATTGGATTCGATTATTCTTGTGTTTCACTTCGCATGTTTTGAATTCCCGAATAATAAGATTATATCATCCTTTGGAAGTAGGTACTGAGGCAATATTGTCATGAATCCGACTGTAGATTGTCTGAAGCGTTTTAGACATAGCACAAGTTTCCTATAGTGTTCATGAGTACTCCTGAAATAGGGATTTGAGTATTGGATTAAACCCAGGCTCACGTGAATCACTTCATGGACTTTATCATGGGTGATTGTGAGATGATAATATCTTATATTCTTGAAATGGAAACATATATTTGCAGTTTACAAGTCAGTTGCACATTGATAGTATGTAAACGCACCAGTAACTTGGTGTTATAAAACATATTGTTGTGTGTGATTTGATGAGTAAATAGAGCAAGCATATGAGTTGAAGTTTATCCGTTGCTTTTACCCAATGTGGGATAAAAGTGATATCTGTGGGCCCCTATATGATTTAGTGATAATACCCTAAGCGCTTGGCCAAGCCTGGACTAAGTTGATATGCTCAATTGTAGTCTAATTCCAATGGTCATAAATCGGAAATCGGGAAACAACACATGAACAGAGAGAATGATTATAATCCATGACTCAGTTCATACGATATATAGAATGCATGAATATAGGATCCCTTATCTAAAGGATACATTACTGATATGATCAGAGTTCGACAACGTTTTTTGAAAGCTACGATTGCTAATCAGATTCTGAAGTCGTACTTGCAATAATAGTTATTAGACTGATCCAATTGGGAGACTGTTAGATTAGGTGTCTAAGCCCATAACTATTTTTGGCATGTACTTGATTTTATTATGAGCATGGTCCTTTTGGGTTGCCTTCACCCATGCAACTTGATAGGATAACAAGATGAGAGAAAGTAGAATTTATTATATGAATAATAAATTCATACTCAAAATGGTTTTATTAATATATAACAAGATTAATATATTATTTAGAAATCATATTATTTAATTAGTATTGATCAGAAATTAATTTGGTGATCAAAAGAGACTGATTAAATAATTAGGGGACAGTTATGCAATCATTGATAGTTGCATAATTGGGCTGATGGACTCCATAGAGTGGAGTGGACGAAATTTATGGGGAAGCCCATAAGATTTCGTCCATGAGCTCTAAGGAAGGATTTCGTGGGTTGCTTGTTGCCTAAGTTAGGTATTAGAGTTTCCACCTGAAAACCCTAGCAGCCCACACAACTATATATAGACCCCTTTGCTAGTAGAATTTGTCCCTATGAGTTTAAGGAAGCCCTAGCCGAATTCTTCTTCTCTCCCAAGTCATCTTCTTGCATTGAGTGTCTGTGAGTCCATTAGATGTGAAACACCTGGGGCATTAGGCTTTCAGAAGTCAAGATCAAGAAGGATTAAACTTGTTATTGCTATATAACAAGAGAGGTACATTTTCTAACCCTAATCATATGTCAATTTCGAAATATGTATGCTAGGCATAAGGTTATTTGCTTTGGTATTCAATGTTGTATGTTCAAGTTAGAAAAACCAAGATCAAAGCAATTAGGGTTGCATGTACACCATAAGAATGATGTTATGCTCAAAACCCAACAATCACAACATGTTTATAATGTCTAAACCCTAAACCCGTCCACTATATGTGGAAATGAACGATTTGACATGATACGATAATTAAATGAGTCGGGTTAGGGTCAATCTATCTCAACTCGTTTAAGTTTCAACCAACCACAAACATAAACACGATATGTTTGTCACTCCTTGATCATATAACCAAATCCAATGGAAGTCTGGGGAAGGGGATAATAGACATCTCCTTTGTAGACCAAAAATAAATATGTATTCAGTTTACCAGTGTGATGAGATGTTTTCTTTTTACGATGTAAAATATGAAACGAGTAATTTAACATTATACTAGAATGTTTATTCCCTTTTATTTATTGACAATCTATCTTATTTTTATAGCTAACATCAAACTTAATACGAGAACCAAAAAAAAAGGTCATAAGTTATTTACGGGGAAATACAAATATAACCGTCAAGTTTAAGTTTTTAGGAAAAATTAGACGAAATTTAAGAAAAGTTCATCAATAATTCTAACACCCATTTATTTGGGAAATCTCTTTTAAAGTCTTAATATTTTACTCCAATTTATGAATATATCTTAAAATAAAAATTGTTTTCGATAAAGCATGAATTACCAATAAGAATGAATATTTGATATTTTTTTTTGCGGTGTACTGGTTTCACTGCTGACCTGGTTCCATTAATGTCTATTATTTTACTATAATTTACGAATTAAGTCTCAAACTAAAATTAAGTGATGGTTTGACCATTTTTTCACTATAACATATATTATATTGGTTTTATTATTCATTTAGACACCTAGTCATTAATGAGGTGATGAGATGGATACGATGAGGTGTATAATGTTATGTTTACCATAAAACTTGATATTCATCTCATCAACTCATTTATGACTATGTCTTCTAGTCAGCAATTAAACCGGTAAAATGTGTGTTTCTAAAATAATAATAATAATAATAATAATAATAATAAACTTTGGGAAATGACCTTGAGAGATGGATATGCTAAGTTACATAAGATTAGATAGATAATTTACAAATTTTTTATAAACTTAAAAAATGAGCAAGTTGTTGCTAATTTATGGAATTATTGCATTCTTTGTTGGATGCATTTCATATTTCAATATATATATATATATATATATATATATATATATATATATATATATATATATACACACACACACACATAATGGAGTAGGATATTAAGTTTTACGATTAAAATAACATTATATAACCTAACATATAAATCTCAACAACTATTTAATGACTATATTCAAGTCAACAATGAAATCAGTAAAATAAATATCAGATGGAAAAGTTATCAAATCATCGTTTAATTTTTGTTTGGACTTATTTGTATATTAAGATAATAAAAAAAAAACAAGAATTTAAT